GCTCATCTTTAAAGACTCCTAAGGTGTGGTAATATCTGTGACTCATGAATTGTCCTTTCATTGCTGTACAGATTGCATGATTTCCAGGATTAATAAGCTCTGAGAGTCTGACCTCATTTGTTTACTGCACACAAACAGCATTACAGTAAATACCATGCTTATTAAGGCAAACTGGCAGAATCACTTGCCAGAAATGACCAAAGGAGGGGAGGGCCAAAGCGTCTCAAATCGTTAAATGAATGGACGCTTTTACACAGGGCAATGGAAAAGCTAAGGCCTCTTTGCCCAGAATTCTCACAAAACAGCAAGAGCAGGCTCACAGAGCCCTCAAAGCATCTGGCCCTCAGTGTGCGGAAACTGAGGAAGGTTGGCCACAGGCATCCAGAGGGTACCAAGACTACTGAATGGGAGAGAGCAGGAGGCTGGAGAGGCAGGCCTGGCAGGCCAGCGGCCAGGTGGGGAAGAAGCTAGGTCAGGAGAGTGAAATAGGGTAGCAACTGGCTACTTCTCTGAGATCTGTGGATTTCACAACCCATGTTTTTATTTTTGGCGCTGTGTGGAGTGTGTAGAATGGCAAAGAGTGCAGGAGGCAGGCTGACCTGGCTGTCGCCCCCACTCCTTGTGGGTGTGCCTAACCGTCAACCTCTGCCGATCTCAGGCCCCCCGTGCCTGGAAGCAGAGACTTGTGACCAATGAGCAATCGGGAGAAGCCTGGGCAGCCCCAGCTTTTCTAGCTACCTTCATTTCCCCTAAGTAAGAGCATCTGGAAGAGATTTTATTTAACGCTAGCATGTCCACACTCCCCACCACACACCGTACGTGCTGCTTGGGCTAAAACTGTTCTCTCTCCTGGAACATTTCTCCTGACCCCCTGCTAGAGCAGACACTTAATGCAATGCACCCCCCGGGACACCCGACAAGATCAAGGATGCCAAAAAGAAGGTGACCATTTGCAGCACCTCCCACGTCAGATAAAGATCTTCCAGGCCTTTAAATGAAAAGGTCCAGAAAACAGGCCCCTCTGAGTGAACAGCCAGGACGAAGCACCACTGAGAACCTGGAAGCACCCGTGTTTGGTTGTCATCTCTGGTCTCCCTTTCCAGGACATTTCACTCCTGCCCTCACCTTGCTATTCTTCTGTAACTGAACTGCATTCCACACCTAGCCAGCACCCACAGTGCAGAGTACAGTCTTCAAGTATGTTTCATGGAACCCCACGGCACTCACAATTTCATTCGGTCCCTGTCTTGGTTGTGGTTACTGTCGCTGTGCTGAAACACTATGATCAAAAGCAACTTGCGGTGAGGAAAGGGTTTATACTTGGCTTACATATCCTGGATCACAGTCCACTGTGGAAAGCCAAGGCAAAAACTTAATCTGGTGGGAGCCTGGAGGCAGGAGCTGATGCAGAGGCCATGGAGGGGTGCTGCTTACTGACTTGCTCCTCATGGCTTCCTCATGCTGTTTTCTTATCGAACCTTACAGGGGTCTGTCTAATTTGTCAGTTGTCAACCTTGTGGGTCGTGACCCCTTTGGCAAAGCTCTATCTCCAAAAATATTTATAGTACAGTGAACAGTAGAAAAATCACATTTATGAAGTAGTAACAAAAATAACTTTATGGACCCACAACATGAGGGAGTGTATTAAGGATTGCAGCAGTAGGAAGGCTGAGAACCGCTGGCCTCAGCCTGCTTTTACAGAGGTGTTCTCTTATATGAGCTCCCTGCTCTGCGGACTGCAGCTTCTGTCAAGCTGACATCAACACCGGCCGGCACAGCCACCATCGGCTTATGCCTGCCGTTGAGAGCTTTCTGCACCTTGGAAGAGATCTAAACAGGAAGGAATAAATTTTGGGTGATAGTTTTGGATCAGCAGGACACTTTGAGGATTGAGACCACAAAGACGGCCGAATCCTGTTAATGCAGTGGGAAGCCAGCTGCTTTGATGGCTCTGTTTTGGTAAGTATGTGGTTGAGTGGATACTCCCCATGTGTTCACACTTGCTCTTGCCTGTATCTTTCCCCTCAACCTCCCCCAATCTGTTCAACCACCAGTGTACCTTCCACATGCTGGGAAAACATTTTATACATGAGTTATGTCCACAGGAGACTGCAAAAGTGATCTAGGTTGGTAGTTTCGAGAGGAAAAAGCTGTCCTCTAGAAGAATTAGTTGTCGGCACAGACCTGGATGAGTTATTCTGCTCTTGATTGTAAGTATCTTTCTTTGCTAATGACAACTTTAGGAAGCCCCCGAACCTCAGTTCTATGTTTTAGTTGGGTGTCCACCCTGAGTACAGCAGGATGTTTAACATTTTGGGAACTGACCTGCTGAAGACCCAGGTGTGCTCCCACTAAACACCCAGGAGTGCCCCACTTACACACCCAGGAGTTTCCCCGAGGAGGGGTCCCCCGACTAAACACACAGGAAGCTCCCCACAAATACTCAGGAATGCCCCTATTAATGGCCAGGAGTGCCCCCTGTTAAACACCAGGAGTACACCATATTAATGGCCAGGAGTGCCCCCACTAAATGCTGGAAGTGCCCTTTCAGGTTATGCTGCCCACAGATGACTCTAAGGGTTGCCAAATTCCCCCACCTGAGAATCACTGAACTATAGATTACAACACTGGGGGGCTCAGCAGCTAAGAACATTTGTTCCTTTTGAAGAGGACCTGGGTTCAGATACCAGCACTCACATGATGATGGCTCATGTGAGCCATATTCCAACTCCAGTTCCAGGCAACCCAATGCCCTCTTCTGACCTCCACAGGCACTGCATACAGGTGGCGCACATACATACATGCCAGCAAAGCACTCATACACAGAAAACAAAATAAATCTAAAAAATAAATCTTAAAAATTTAAAAACTGAGCTGTGCATGATGACACATGGCCTATAATCTCATCACTAGGAAGGCAGGGAGCTAAGGCAGGAAAATCTTGAGTTGGAAACCAGCCTGGGCTACACAGTGAGGCCCTATCTCAAAAAAAAAAAGGAACAAAAATGAAAATCCATTGGATATTTGGGGAGAATGCACAGCTGTTTCTACAGGTAGCAATATATTATGTAATTCAGAACCATCCTCACCCCCTTCTGTCTTGTTATAAGGCAAACAGCTTCAAAAAAAATTCTGCAACTAATGCAGCATTCAAAAACAAGGGCATCACGTAAATCCCCAAACAGAACCCAGACTGGAAGATGCTTCTCTGTCCTTAGTCATGAAACAGGCTTTAAAACAACTTGTGCTTCAGAAAAGCCTAAAACCACTTGGGACACTAGCAGCTGAGCCAGCAGCAGACAAACCTCAGAGATAAAGACACATCTTTTAACATCTGCGCAACAGTTGAAAAGAGAAACAGTGCTAGCTCATATAATAGTGTTCAAGTATCTCTTCAATTGGTAAGTTTTTTCCAAATTACAGCAGGCCTGAAACAAATAATAGATAATCTCTTAATGCTCTGTACTCAAGAAGCAAGAGGTAGCAACAAGATTTTTGTCATGAGCGTTTAGTGTTAGTGTTTAAGGTTAGGGTTAAGGCTAGGGTTAGGGTTAGGGTTAGGGTTAGGGTTAGGGTTAGGGTTAGGTTTAGGGCTAGGGTTTAGGTTTAGGGTTAGGGTTAGCCATAACAGCAGTGATGACAGAAAGCATTGTGCCACAAAGAAGAAAACATCCAGATAAGCTTTTACCATAAAAAATGTAAGTGGTAGGATAGGTATTTTTTAACCCATTTCCGCATCATACAGTGTGTTGAAAAATCACCCTGTCTCATTAATTAGCACATCTTTTCTGTGTTATATGTCAGTTAAATTTCGCATTATGCTTTAAATATACTCAGCAAGTATGAAAGCATATATCCATTCACAGGGTGGCTCCTTGTGTTCATGCGGCTTCTGGTCCTTCTGCTCCTTACTTAGTGACTAGAATTCACTAGGCATTTAAAAGATAGACCTTCTGGATGGAAGACTCCAGGACCCAGGAACACAGGCCCTAGGCTACTCTTCTCTCAGGAAAAAAAAAAAAAAAAAAAAAAAAAAAAGTTGGACCCCCCCGCCCCTACCTGAGCCTTAAAGATGAATGCAGATGTTTTAAACCACTGGCAAAGTCGACCCTCACCCCTAATGTTTACTGACCTACCTAGCCCACTTGGGCCTTTTCTAGCCAGTGGCTCTCCAACTTTGGTTCCTGGACAAGCACTAAACGGAACAGAAACTCAGGAAAGCAGGTGTTTCATCCCTGACTCCGGAGGCTGGGTGCGGTCTGTGACAGCAACCCTGCAGGTGGTGTTGGGGCCCTTGAAGTTGAGCCTGCTGATTTACAACAGTATTGTCTCTCTATCCGTGACTGCGCATATCTTTATAACAGAAACTGAAGTTGTGATTCCTATCTCATTCCCAGCCCACTGCAAGGTGGTATTCCCACTTCAGTGCTGTCGAAGGATCTGCACTTCACACTGAAGCAAGGTCTGCGATGATTTACTAAGGCAAAGGTTGGCTTGCTAGTCTCTTGTCTGTTTTGGATCCCTTAGCTTTCTTCTCTGGAATAACCTGGAGACGCTGGGTGGGTGGAGAGTGTGATAGCTGAGAGAGTAAGGGCCACATTTTCTGGTCACCAAGTCCGAATGGAAGGGCAGGGCTCAGCTGAGGAACATTTAGTCCTGCCTGGATGCCAAGGAGCTACAGAGCCCTGGTTGAGACACGCCTACTCCCAGTCCCCAAGAGCCACGGTCTGGACCCCTCGTCTCAAGCATACTGGCATCTAGGCTGCAGCAGGTGGCCAATGAGGGACCGGAGACTAAGGGGCCAGCCCACCTGGAGTTGCGGGAGCAGATGCAAGGCAGGGGACTCTATTCCTGAGGACAGGGGAATGAATGTTTCCTCTGTCCCTGGGTCCATGGTGCCTAGGAGCTGAAAGACACCACGTCTAAGTGTCCCCAGGTCCCTGAGGACGAGGAGGCTGGGTGGTCTAGACCATGCGCGCGGGCGGGAGGTGGCGACTCACCGTGTGGGTCGCTCTTCTCGCGGACGCCGTCCACGCGGCCGTCCGGGTGGATGCGCAGGAAGAAGCCGCCGTTCTTGCAGTAGAGCCGCTTGGGGTCCTTGAAGTGGCCTGGCGGGAAGGCGGCGCCCCCGTCCTCCGGCAGAGCGGGAAGCGAGGTGATGCCGCTGGCAGCCATGGCCCCTCTGCGGCCCCGGGGCCCGGCTGTGGCAGCTCTCGGGGCTCCCCGGCCCCGACCCCGGCCTCGGCCCCCCAGCGCGGCGCGCCCGCGGGCTGCCAGCCTCCCTGTATGTGTCCCGCCGCACTCGCAGGAAAGTGCTGCCAGACTGTGCCTGAAGCCGGCAGAACCCTGGGTGGTACAGCGGCCCCGGGCAGCGTCACCCCGCGTCCCCGCCTGCACCCCAGCCCCGCGCGCCGCCTCCTCCCCACGCCCGGCGCCCGTAAGCTACAAGGAATCTGTCCCGCTCGGCGCAGCCTTCTCTAGGCGACTGCCATGACGCAGCTCCTAAAGTTTAAAAGCAACTTTCTCCAAGCCCGCCTTTCAGCGCAGCGACGCGCCTTCCACCCCAAAGCAGCGGAAGGGTCTGAACTGGGGGAGGGATCGCGTCACCCTTTGGAAATCTCCAGTCCCTGTAGAGCACAAACTGTGAAAGGACGGAGTGCAGGAGACAGAGGCCGAGAAGGGGGCGCCTGGGTTTCCTTTCTGGGCGCCCAGCCCGAGACAGCGTGGGAAGATGAAACCGGCTTCCAGTCCTCAACACGAAAAAGCCCAGAGCTGGCGCTTTGCCGTACCTCAGTTGTTAGATGTTTCTTGGAAAGAGTCTCACAAAATTGCAGTTAATTGCAGTTGGTGATTTTCAGTAGACCCTAATAGGCTCGACAGTCAGATTCTCTGCGCCTCTGCTCTGAAACTAGATGCTTCTCTTCCCTAGCTGTGGGGCACATCGCACACATCAAATACCTGGGCTCAAAGCATCTGAATGTGTGATAGTCACACATACAGAAAGGGTGAAGGCCAGGAGGGGGAACCAGAGTAACTGCTCTGAGGAGTCACACGCTGAGCAGAGTGGGGGAAATACAGATTTAGGGAAGCTTCTAGAAGGGCCACTGTATGCTAGCTGTAAAAGGTCATCCTGAAGGACATGGGTTTTCAGTCTACAGAGACCAACACTCAAGTGTGTGATGCGTGTGAGTAAATCCTCCAAAGCTTTAAGCCGACAAGCCTTTTCTCCAGGCCGCTGTGGATCAACAGAGAAGTGTGAGCATGTTCATTTCTCCCTCGCTTCCTGATAGGTTCATGGCTGAAGTCCCTACAACACGACACAGATTATCATGGGAAAAAATACTAACTTATTTAATGAAAATCTGGGCTCTTGGAACGGATATGAAGACCCCAGAGCTACATAGGGACCTGTGTATTTTCGGTCAAGCTGGGAGCTGTGTGCACTGTGGAAAATGATGCTGAAGGGGGTGTCATCTAACGAGCATAAGCATAACTTAGCAAGTCTTGGTTGTTCTGATTCTCTGTCCTCAGAGGTGGGGACTCCCTGACTTGTAGGTACAGGGTAGACACTTCTCAAACGTGGGCTTTAACACCTCAGTAAGAGAAGACTAAGGGATTATGAGAGCAACTGCCTGCTTTTTCTTTTTTCTTTCCATTTCTGTTTGTTTGTTTGGAGACAGGGTTTCTCTGTGTAACCCTGGCTGTCCTGGAACTCACTCTGCAGACCAGGCCTCGAACTAACAGATCTACATGCTTCAGCCTCTAGAGTGCTGTGATTAAAGGCCTGCACTACCACTGGCTCTGCTATTTTATTTCTTTATTAAATAATTTATTCACTCTACATCCTAATCATAGCCCTCCCAGTCCCACCTGCTTCCTTCCTACCTCCTTCTTCCCTGTCTCTCTCCTCCTCTCCCCCTCAGAAAAGAGCCACCACTGCCAATTCAACCCAGCACATCAAGTCACATCAGGGCTGAGCACATCCTCTTCCTCAGTAGTCTGGCAAGGCAGCCCCACCAGAGGGAAGTGATCAAAAAGTAGGCAACAGTCTATGTCGGAGAGAGCCCCTGCTCAACTTTCCAGGGGACCAACATAAAGACCAAGCTGCCTGTCGGGTACATATGTGTAGGGGGCCTAGGTCCAGTCTATGCATGGTCCTTGGAGCTGTTTTCTTAAATGCTGAGGTACCATTTGGGGACAACATGATCTCAACCCCATCAGTTCTCTGCCATCGGTCTCCGGAATGGTTCAACCACATCTTCACTGAGGCTCCAGTAAGACATGCAGCTCTGTTCTGATGCTGAGAGTGGCCCTAAGAGACACATAGTAGGACCCCACCCAGCATTCCCCCTGCATACAAGATAAGGGATAGCAACTACAGCACAAATTTGAGGAGCATCAGTGCTGAGTAGTTAGCTGATGGCATTGACCAGGGATTTGTGGAAGGAACTACATTTCCTCCACACCTAGTTCCCTCCAAAGTCAAGAGAGAGGGAGTGTCTATTCAACCTTTTCTTCATCCCAAAAATCCTAACCATATTTATAGGAAATGGCTAAAACTAATACTAGGAAAATCAGGATTCCAAAGTAAAGTGCTTATGGTTGCAAACAACTCGCATGATTACCAGTGAATGGTTATCAATAGGAGCACATTAAGTGAAATGACTCGTGTAGTAAGTAGTGATTAGTATGTAATTCACTTCAGAGATATTTGTGACGCAGGTAGTCAGGCTAGGCACAGGAGGCAACTCGGAGATGGGGGCACTGTCGCAGAGTTCGACTGCACTCTGTTCATGGGCAACCTGGAGACGAAGGTGGCCGAGGAACTCCTCCTGGAGCTGTTCCACCAGGTTGGGCCAGCAGTTTGCATTTGTGAATTTCAAACATAAAGTGTCTGTTCTCTGCGCCAGGAGTCTCCTCAATGCAATCAAGCTTTTCGAGAGGCCTTCTGAAATTCAGGTTAGACCAGGAGGAAGCCACGCTTCTCAGGATGCCAGTGTCATACCCGCAGCGTCACACCTCCACGCCTAACAGCTAGGAAAGGGTGGTGGGTTATGTGACTCCATCAGCACAGATGGTCCAGAGGTCCTTTTCTTCTCCAGAAGGGTATCAGCGGCAAGCAGGGATGAACAGTGTTTTCACACGGATGTCAGAGGTTGGGAAATTTGGTTCTCCACATGCAGATCAGTCGGGATTGTCACCATCAGTTCAGCCACATGTTCATAGCTTTAATCAGTCTTCTAGCTCCCGGGGGCACCAAGATGTACTGTCATCACAGCATAAAAGACAGAATTCTCACCCCTACCTAGCAGATAGGCACTACAGCCATGAGCAGCTGTATCTGGGTTTGACTGTCACTGCAGAGGAAACAATGTAGCAGAGGATTTCTACTGTGACAGCAGGAATCATGATGGCTGGAGCTGTGAGTATGATAACAGAAGGGACAGGAGAGGTGGGAAATGGCCCTCATCTCAGCACTAACAAGCATCCCAAGGACATTGTTTACAGGGCCATTTTAGACCCTTTTAATTAAGTTTTTCTGGAAATATTTCTAAAAACTGTACAGGGTAGCCCCATAATTTGCCCCCTGTCTTTGAAAAAAAAATTTTTTTTTAACCTAGCAGCAGTTTCCTGGAGAACTAGAACTACGGCTCCTAGTTTGTTACTCTAACTACCATACCTCTGGTTTCTGAAGAGGATGGGTTTTAGAAAGGAAAGTGCCACCATTCTGGTCATTTCAGACACTCTAGGAAAGATGGCCTGGATAGATTGGTTGCATTATAAAGCAAATATTTTAATTACTCACGCTTTTATGCAAGAAATTTGGTAATGATTCATTTTAGTGTATATAGTAGGAAGCATGGTAGTCTGAAATGGCTTTTTGTATTTTGTTAATGAGAAAATAGAAAAAAAAAGATTTGTGAGCTTGTCTCATCAGATATAATTCAATAAGGAACTATTGCTTTTTTTTTTTTTTTAATGATTTCCTACATGGACTGAGAAACTCGGAAACAAGTAAAAAATGTAAGGTATTCTCCAGTGTGTCCCTTACACTTTGTCTTTTGAAGTGACCTTCCCCCACCAATACATACAACACATTCACTGATGTGTATTCCAGGAACACCTGCATCTGGGCATCTGCAGTCAGAGGAAGAGCTCTCATCGGTGTTTACACTTTTTAAATTTTTTAAAATTTATTACACTTTATTCAGTTTGTATCCCAGCTGTAGCCCCCTCCCTCATTCCCTCCCAATCCTGCCCTCCCTCCCTTTTCTCCTCCTATGCCCCTTCCTGGTCCACTGTTAGAGGAGGACCTCCTCCCCTTCCATCTGACCCTAGCCTATCAGGTCTCATCAGGACTGGCTGCATTGTCTTCCTCTGTGGCCTGGAAAGGCTGCCCCTCCCCTCAGGGGAGGTGATCAAAGAGCTCACTGAGTTCATGTCAGAGACTCCTCTTGTTCCCATTACTAGGATACTCCCTTGGATACTGAGCTGCCATGGGCTACATCTATGCAGGGGTTCTAGGTTATCGCCATGCATGGTCCTTGGTTGAGTATCAGTTTCAGAAAAGACCCCTGTGCCCAAATTTTTTGGTTCTGTTGCTCTCCTTGTGGAGCTCCTGTCCCCTCCAGGTCTTTCTATCCCCCCACCCTTCTTTCATAAAATTTCCTGCACTCGGCCCAAAGTTTAGCTATGAGTCTCAGCATCTGCTTTAATATCCTGCTGGGTAGAGTCTTTCAGAGGCCCCTTGTGGTAGGCTCCTGTCTTGTTCCTTGTTTTCACCCTCTTCCAAAGTCTATTCCATTTGCCTTTCTGAATGAGGATTGATCATCTTACCCAGTTTCCTCCTTCTTGCTTAGCTTCTTCAGGTGTACAGATTTTAGTATGATTATCCTATATTATGTCTAATATCCATTTATAAGTGAGCATATACCGTTTGTGTCTTTCTGCTTCTGGGATACCTCACTCAGGAACTTTTTTTTTAAAACCACACCTAACACATGTACAACTGTTTTTTTTGTTTGTTTGTTTGTTTGTTTGTTTTACTTACAAAGCTGATTTTAAATACTCATAACAAATATAATAATCTGATATGAAATCCTCAAGAAAAAGATAGAGTATCCCACTCCTTTAGGGAAGAGTGTACCAAGACACTAGAAAAGACCAGTCTATAGTTTGCAACAAAAGTCAGGTCAATGGGTTGGTTTCAGAACTCTTTATGATGCACCAGGAAGGCTAGAATGCACTAGTAGCCCCAAATATCCTGGGCTCAGGAAAACCTGGAGGAATTATACCAAGAGCCCCAAGGTGTTTATAAGGTTGTCTGAAAGAAAAATCAAGCCAGTGTGCAGACAGAAGCCTGTGTGTACTGGCTGAGTGTGTCAGAACCCAGTAGGCTAAATGTGAGAATCTGGGGACAGAGCCACCATGGGTTAAGACTGTTAGGATGCTTTCAAAGGATAGCAAAGGAATAAGGAAGATGGGGAAGAGAGAAAAAGGAAGAAAGAGAGGGAGAGGAAGAGGGAGAGAGAAACAAAAGACAGCAAGCAGTCTGTCCAGAACATAACGATGCCACCTGGCCATGTTTTCTAAGTTGCCGGGAAAGGAACCTCTGTCTCTCTGATGACTTCTGCACTTCATCTTGTCCTCTCAGCTAGAAAAACAAAATGGCCCCCATAATCCGGGAGACTTCTAATCTCTTTATTTCCTTTTTGCCTTGCTCATCAGAGGTTCATATGTTTAATGTTCAGTTCCATAATTAGAGGTGAAACAGAAATACACATGGACCAGAGCTCAGTGAATACAAGAAAAGGGAGGCTCAGAATCAGGAGACAATGTGTGGTGGCTTAGTGCCTAGCCTCCAGCTGTCACAGGGCACATGGGATGCCTCAATCAGGCAGTGTCCCAGCCTATTTCGTGTTTCTAGTTTCTTAACATGGGCTTCTTTTTAAATTTAATTGGATTTTTTTAAGGTTTATATATTTTAATTTTGTACATATGAGTGCCTTGCTTGAATGTCTCTCTGTCTATGCAACATGTGTGCCTCGTGTCTCGGCAGGCAGTTGTGAGCCACTGCATGTGGGTGCTTGGAACCAAACCTAAGTCCTCTGCAAGGGGAGTATAAGGTCTTAACCACTGAGCGCTCTCTCCAGAAGCCCACAAATTTAGTGTTTTATTAAAGGAACCGTTTAAAAATGTATTTTTATGTTTTAATGTAAATTTATGTTTTGCCTAGATGTATGCCTGAATGAGAGTGTCAGATCCCCTGGAATTGGAGTCACAGACAGTTGTGAGCCACCTTGTGGGTGCTGGGAATTGAACCTGCGTCCTCTGGAAGAGCAGCCAGTCAGTCGGTGCTCCCAACCGCCAAGCCATCTCTCCAGCCCCATTAAAGAAACAATTTAAATATAAGTTTAAGGCCATGTTTCTCATAAATATTTTGTTGATAACTTGAATTACTTATTTTTGTCTTTTAAACCAGCTTAAAAGCACAAACGCACACATGCAAACAAAACAAAACAAGAAACCCAGAAGTTAACAAATAATGAGGATGCCCTTGGACTCCATCCTAATCCACCTCTTTTCTTTGGTGTAGCCCAGTTTCCCAAGCTCATTTCACACCTTTTTCTGAGCATTTGCAAGCATGCCTGCTCCCAGTGAAAGCAGCAGAACTGTGTGTTCAGACAGAAATGGTACAGGGCTGTCAGCATCTCTTGGCAGCTGACATCGTCATTCCAGCTGTGTCTTAGATATTCTGTGGTGGATCTATGGCTCTGTTTGGTTTGCTTCAGCTGCCAGGTACCAAGAGCTCAGTACAGCTACACATTGAGGCTCCACATACTGATGTCCATGCAGGTTACATGGTTACTGCAATAGTATTTTTGTTACTTGTCTCCATATGCATGTGTAGAAACTGTTCTTCCAAGAACTTTGCTCAGCAGCGTCATTTAAGACAGGGTTAAGCCTAGCTCTGCGACATCTGCACTGACTTGTAGGCCTACCAGCAACGAACAAACTTCATAAAGATGTCATTCTTGCCTAACTGTCTACACTAGAAAGCTGACAATGCTGATCAGTAGACAGACAACAAAATTAAAGTTAAAAAGCCGTTCCACAAACTGGAAGGTTAAACTAAAATCAGCAGTATAGATGTAAGAAAGGCTCTTCTTCATCTAAGGCTAAAAGAAAAAAAAATCTATTTGCCAGTCAACATGGCAGACGCCTGGTCATCAGAGAACAGGGTAACAGCCATGCCTCTCTAACTACTCAAAGTGCTAACACAACCCAGTTTCATTACTGCTGTTTTCAGACAAGATCTGTGTTTCCTAGGCTGGTTATGAACTTTGCTGACGATGACCTTGCATTCCTGATCCCGCTGTCTCCACCTCCAAGTGCCGAGATTACAGCATATGCTACCACTCTGAGGTCGATGTAGTGCTGGGGCTCAAACTCTAGGACTGGCATGATATATGGGCACTCTACCCACTGAGGAACATGCCAAGCCAATGCACATGGTTTTAAAGAGAGAGGCACCCTGCTGTGCACAATGAAGAGCACACACTTGATTCCTAGGCACAGCAGGTTCTTGTTGAGAGAGAGTGAGCCTGTGCAGAGCAAGAAGAGAAAGAAACATCTCTCCTTTAGGTCTCCAGATAGAATTTGCTGGCACTATGACCCTTCCTGAGCTTAGTCTTTCTGGACAAAAGGTTCCTGACCACCACAGGCTTCTTCCATCTCCACAGCTCAAAAGTTCTGTTTGCTGAGAAACATCCTTGCTTTTCCAGACATGTCCCAGACATCAGTAGCTTCACCCTGACCACACATGGGCAATCAGTGATGCACACCAGGCTCAGGAGCATGACCAACCCTGACCATCCAGACTGGTGATTATGCGCAGTGTTTGCGTTGACACAAGAGAAGTGGGAACGTTTTCTTTCATCACCGAGGAAGCATTGGCTTTGTCTGTAGTCCAAGTTTACTTTCCCTCTGCCAAAACTATGACTTTGTTTGTAACTTTCCAGCCAGTGACCTCAATCCTGACCTACAGGAGGCACCCACTCCCCACCGGAATGGAAAAGGTCATTTAGTCACCTCAGCCTGCAGTCCTCATGAGAATACAGCATTCCAGTTCAGTGCAGTGTTTTGAGAGTCAATGTGTTCTCTCAAAGTATCAGAAGAAATGAGCACTATTTTAAAAAAATTGGAATGGGATTTAGCTAGATTTAAATTTTTTATAGTGTTCCCTTTAGGCAGGAAAATATATGTCACTAAAGTGTCCAAAACAATATATGCTATCTGGAAAGTTACTCTTTCGATCAGTGGTTTCTTAATGAAACTGCAGTAAAAGTTCAATGGGAATCATAAGCTGGGCTCATGTACATCAGAGAATAAATACACAGGAGACACAGATGGCCACAACTGTTTAAACCCAGATCCTATAAATTCATGTGAACACCTAAAAACACTAATTTTCCAATTTTCTTATTTATTCTAGAACATTGGAAATTCTCAGAACTTTGCCTCTCTAATTTGAAGAAACATTTGAGAGGAACTGACCATAAAAAACATGTCAGAAGACTTAAAAGTTTAAAGCAAGGGGCTAGAGAAATGGCTAACTGGGTAAATCGCTTGCCATGCACATGCAAGTGTGAGGGCTGGAGTTTGAATCCCATCACCTCCATGAATGTGAGGTGGTGGTGGTGCATCTGTGATTCCTGTGCTTGGAAGGAAGATAAAGAGGATTCCAGGAGCAGGCTGGCTCCCTAGATCAGTCATATTAGTGAGTGCTAGGTTCAAGGGAAACTGTCACACCTCATCCATCTGTCTCTTTCTCTCTCACACACAAGCGTGCCTACACATAACATGCATACACACATGTATGCATGCGCGTGCACAATTAATTTTAAAAGTAAAATTAAAAGTGTGTATAATGCACCAGCTAAAAGGATCAGACCTAATTATACAAGATGTGCATCCAGATCAATAGGCAATAAAGGAAGTAAGAGGTGCTCTAAGATTTGTGCTCTATGGTGAAATCTCAAGTTATCTCTTGTGTCAATGCTCCTGAAACACTGTTAGCAGCTCCTCACAAGAGCAATGCATGGCAGAAAAACTGATGATTGTAACTATGATTTTGCAAAACAGAGAGAAAATGTTCTTCATATCATCCTAATAAAAGCCAAGGGTTCAATATTTACTCATAGCTATGCAACAGCATTTCTTCAGGGGATTAAGCTGACGTTTGAAGAACATTACTTTCTGCTGATTTAATCTAAAAAGACAGACCTTAGATAACTCAAAGGGGGAGGCTAATTAATGTGTCTGTCTGTTCCTCTTACTGTCAGTTCTCTTGTGTCCAGTTATACGCTTTTTATAAAGAGAAGTGAGAGTTGATCATGAGGATAGGATAAACACTTCTAGCCAAAAATTGTCATTGATAGATACATTTGGTTGGTAAGCCCACCATAAACAGATGAACAAATAAGTACAGAAATATACATGTAGATTTTATTTTGCTTTATTTTATTTCTTTAAAATTTAGTGATATGGAACATACGATTTTATAGCCTTATTTTCCATTTGTCGATATATTATGAAGATAATATATCCTATGAATTATGTTGTAGTTTTTTGAGTTGTAGAGATGGTTTAGTGGTTGAAGTACATGTTGCTCTTCCACTTCCAGAGGACCAAAGTTTGGTTCCCAGCTTCCACATCAGACAGCTCACAAACTACCTGTAACTCCAGGGGATCTGACACCCTCTTCTGGCCTTTTGGGTACCTACATTTACATGCACATACCACCCATTGATACCCACACACTTAAACACAATTAAAACTAAATATAAATCTTTTTAATGCAGCTTTTCATAGCTTTAGTATTGAAACTACCCCATAGCTCCATTGATTAAATATGTGTATTTCTTTTGTGTGTGTGAGTGTAAGCATGTGCATGTGTGGAGGTCAAAGAAAAGTTTTTCACAAGCTGGTTGTTGCTTTCCGTAGATCTATTTCCTAAAGTACTTAACCTTCCAAAACAGTGCCACCAGCTAGAGACCAAGAGAACTCATGAGTCTACAGGGGAACATTTTTATGTTCAAACCTCAACAGGGATATTTGGAGAATAGACAGGAAATGCCAGCTAAAGACACTAACCTTTCATTTGTTCTTGTTTTGCTAAACACAGTCTACACGTGATATGCATTTTTAACAGAACAACAACAACAAAAATGGTTGACCATTTTATTTCTTGATCATTTAAATACCTATTTTAGTTTCTTCTTTTTCCTCACATGTGCCAAGAGCCAAGGCTATTTACTGAAGTCAAAGTCAATTAGTGAGCCAAAGCTATTTAGTGGAGACAAAGCTATTTACTGAAGCCAAAGCCAAGTAGTGAGCAAAGGTCACTTAGTGGAGACCTAAAGCTGTTTAGTGAAAGAGTTACCTAAGACCCTAAATCATGGGTGATAGATTGTGAGGACATCTGTCTGTTAGTTTTAGAGCATCCGTGAGATATCTTAAGAAAATATCCTTAAGAAAAGATCCTTACGGTATCTTGCAGGTGCAATATTCAAGCCATGAAAGCACTCTTCCTATCTCCTGCAGCAGTAATTTAGCCTTCCCCCTTTCCTGCCTTCTCCCTATGTAAGTTGGGTAAAATTTTCTAATAAACGAGACCTTGATCAGACAAACAAACTTGGCTTCATTCTTCGCGTCTCTTGTTCCCTTCCCCCCTCATTCCTTCTACCCTCCATCTTTAGGAACCCATTGAAATCCCACGGGTCGGAGCACACATGTTTGTTTTTAGCTCAGTCTCTTGTTAATTTATTTCCAGATCCACTGAGAATAAATAGATCTCCAAACACGTTCACATCCACCTTGCCAGCATGAAGTACTACAAATGACACCAGTGCGCAGACTGTAAAAAGTATGAGTTTTGAGAGGACTTGATCATGCCATTTGTATGTCCTTGTCTTCAGTCATCAAATGAGAAGAAGTCCACTTCACTCACATAAATTATACCCCCTTTGTTCAGCTGCAGAAGACACCTGGGTCACACCATCAACATGTAGGCCCACTCATTGTGATATTTTTAGAAAATTCCTTGCTCACTGCTTAAAAACACTCAAAACACAAATATAAACTGATATTTCAGGAAGCTGCTATAAGTATACTTTAAGTCTTTGTTCCCACACAAAAGGAAAGAATGACAACAATTAGACAACTCATTTTGGAAATTAGGAACTTTTATGAGACTGACTTCAACCCTTTTTCCTTAAGAGCCACTGAAAGAAGAAAGACAGAGCCCTTTAATACTCTTGAGGCAGAGGCTGGCAGAGGCCTGTGAGTTCAAAGCTATCCTGGTCCACACTGCATGTTCCAGGACAGCAATGGCCTCATAGTAAAATCCTGTCTCAAAAAAAAAAAAAAAAAAAAGGAAAGAAGAAGATGAAGAAAGGAAGGAAGGAAGGAAGGAAGGAAGGAAGGAGAAAGAAAGAAAGGAAGAAAGAAAGAAAGAAAGAAAGAAAGAAAGAAAGAAAGAAAGAAAGAAAGAAAGAGAAAAAGAAAAAAGGGAGGGAAGGCATAGTTGAGACCAGCTATCTTCCATCTGCTACTGCACAGAGGCAGTAGACTCTTGGTCCTCTCGAAGCCCTCCCACCCTGCCTTAGCCTGAGACTCTCTTCCAACAGCTACAACCCTGAGTCAAGTCTCTGTTTTATTTATGGCATTAAAGGAATGGAACCAACCAGAGCAGAATTTCCTCACCTTTCTGCTGTCAAGTACCCAACCCACTTACGTCCCTTCAGTACCCAGAGGCTAACCCTGCACTTGCAAGCTTGTGGCTTTGCTCCTTTCTCTTCCTGGAGCCCTTGGCTCCTGCAACTCTGCTTTCCGTAACACCAGGTTTCTCTGCTAGCAGGCCATTCTCACCAAATAAGTATCCACAGCTTATTTCAAAACAGCCTTTCTCTTCCATGAGCCTACTCCCCTTTCCAGACACTACCCAGTTTTTTGCTTCCTTCTACAGCAAAATTCCTCAAGCATTCTCTAATAGCTGTTGATGCTTCCACCCATTTATTTTTAAGTGTTTGATTTCATTTATTGCTTAAGCAATTACATGACAAGTAATGAATACAATAAATACTTCATTCACAGTCCACTAGCCTAAGACACCAATTACTCTTGTTTTGTTTGTGCACTGCTGCAACCGTGCCTAAGATTATTTTTATAAAAGTACTTCGGTGTTCTTCTTACTTAGCCTTCTACTTTCCTAGCGTGCCAGTGCCACATAACTTGTAGAATTATGTATTTTAAGGCCAGAAATAGTCACTATGTCCATGATCCTGCATGGCCCACATTTCAGGAGACCGAGGTCCTCTCTCAAGGTTTTTGGCCTACATTGCTTTGGAAGTGGCCGAACCTGCATATTCTCACTTCAACAATCATGTAGCCATATAGCCATAGAGAGATAGAAGGCCCACTTTCCAGGTACTTCTGGCCCCCTTCAAGGCCTCTCACCCAAAGCACCTGTTTAACCAAGGCCTACAAGCCACCTGCCTCCCTAGTTTCTCTTTCAAATGGACTTGAGCAATGGGTATTGGTTGATGTGTCCAGAAGTCTAGCCACTAGATTCTAGCAGTATATTGAGGCTGTTGGCTTGGGAGTCATTGTGAATGGACAATCAGTAGCCTCCCCTACCCCCCAAAAAAATTCCATGACTTTTGATTAATAGGAAATATCTCACATGCTGGTCGAGTTCTACCACCAGTCTCTTCCAGCTTCTAATCACCAGGAAATCATGTAATCCATGCACTGCTGGCATTAGGAATGACTCTGACCACTTTGATTTTTGACTGTGTTTGTAGTTCTGTGCCTCTTCATCCATTTCTGCTGAAATAAGACCTCAGAACTCCTCACTCATCCTCTGGATTGACCAGATCTGGAGGTGATTACAGAACTTCAACCCCACACACAATCACAGGCCGCCAGCCTTTCATAGAAAATCAGAGTGCAATTCCCAGTGAACCATCCTCACTCACCTAAAATATTGCAAGTTTCATTGTTCGCTGGTGTTTTGTGAACGTTTCATGTTTCTAATCATAAAATTTGTTTTCACTTGATGGAATCATTTCTCAGGGTGACACCTGGGGCATACATTTCAGAGGACTAGCAGAGTCCCAGAGCTTCACTTTGCACACACATTTCAGGATAACATTTGATGATGTAGAGCATTGCTAAGGGCTCTGTGTTGCATACACAAATGCAGTGATCTGACTCAGTGAGGTCACATAGTCACTAGGCTGTGACTACTCCCATTGTCTTTCCTAGTAATTTTAATTGAAAGTGGTCTCTTTGCAAACCGTGTGGAAGACAGAGATCTGTGCTGTCACTGACTATAAAGGGCAAGGAAGCTTCTTTTGCAGTGGTACCAGTGACTGCAGACTCACAATTAAGAATGACAGGCATAGAAGGCCTCTGTGACAACCTTACCCCTAAAAAAAAGGAAACAGTCTAGACAGAAAGCCATTGAGGAGAACTCTTTAAAATTGTGATGAAGTGTAGCTCTTCCTGGCTGATGGCTTCTGGCGGAGGCTGAGAGAAGAAGGACTGTTTTCTTTAAGGGGCTGGCCACTGGGAGTTTGACAATGCTCCAGGGAGAATATGGGCAACACAAATCGGACTTCTTTTTTGTTTGTTTTATTTTTTTTCTCTTTTTCTTCTTCTTTTCTTTAGGGAAGGTCACAAGGGGTGGGGACTGGGAAGACTGGAAAGTGATCGGGTCCATTATATGAAACTTACACATAATCAATAAAAATATTATACTGGAAAAAAGAAAGTGGTCCCTTTGCTTAAAAGCCTGAGCCTTTTGCACGATGCTGAGTAGTAGTTCCTAATGCTGTCTCTCCTTCACTTTTGTTGGTTGATGTCACTATAAGAAAAAGCTTTCCTGTCCTCAGTCACTAAGGTGCCTCCAAGGACTCAGCTGCCTCCCACTGAGTCCCCTGGCTTCCCAAGCTCTGTCTCCCCCCCCCCCCCGCACCCCCCTGCTCCCGCCCCCACCTTCTCCAGCAGCCGCCTTCTGCAGGCCGTTTCCACCAAGGAAAGGCTATCCAGAACCTCCACTCTTTCCACCCCTTTGCTGATGCAAGCAAAGGTGATGACCTGCTGCTTCCTGCTGGCACTGGCGATTATCTCCATATAATAATTCAGTCCAAATTGCTAATGAATAATAATCAGACAATGAAGAATTAAGAAGAGGTCCTCCCCTATAGTGGACTTGGAAAGGGGTAGGGAGAAGATGAGGGAGAAAGGCTGGGCTTGGGAGGGAATGTGAGAGAGGGATACAATGTTAATAAACTGTAACTAATATTAAAAAATAAATTTAATTAAAAAAAGAATTCAGTGGACTTGGAAAGGGACAGGGAGGAGATGAGGGTGGGAGGATGGGATTGGGAGGGAGAGAGGGAGCGGGATACAGCAGGGATGCAAAGTTAACAAACTGTAACTAATATTAAAAAATAAAAATTAAAAAAATAAAATATTAATCTTAATTAAGTGAAAAAAAAGAATTCAACAGAGAAATGACAGGAAGACCCTTACTACTGTCCACGGGATTGCTGATGACTTTGATAAAAAGAAACTAGTGAAGGCCTTTAAGAAGAAATTTGCCTGCAATGGTTCTGTAATTGAGCATCCAGACTATGGAAAAGTAATTCAGCTACAGGGTGACCAATGTAAAAACATATGCCAGTTCCTGATAGAGATTGTACTGGCTAAGGACAGTCAGCTGAAGGTTCATGGGTTTTAAGTGTTTGTGGCTCTGAAGCTTAAGTGAGGATTTCCTTGCAATGAGTAGAATTTCTCTTCTATACCTTGTCACAAGTTTAAAAACCTCACAGCTTGTATAAGTAACCATTTGGGGTCTGCTTTTAACTTGGACTAGTGTAACTCCTTCATGCAATAAACTGAAAGGAGCCATGCAAAAAAAAAAATAAAAAGAAAAAAGAAAAATCTTTCCTTTCTTTACCCATTTATCCATCCACTTGTATACAACAGAGACTTGCAGATGTTTAATTTACTCAGTTAGGCAATGCCTTTTTCTATCATTGACATAGACAGCTGAATTATGCCAGAGCTGGCTAGCCCTTCAGGCTGGCTTTCTGTTCCTTTAACACAGCAGTTCTCAACCTGGGGGTCACAATCCCTTTGGATGTTGAATGATCCTTTCACAAGGGTGTCCTAAGACCATGGGAAAATACAAATATTTACATTACAATTCATAACAGTAGCAAAATTACAATTATAATGTAACAACAAAAATAATTTTATGGTTGGGGTTCCCCCCAATATGAAGAACTGTATTAAAGGGTTACAGCATTAAAAGGTTGAGACCCACTGTTTAAACACATCTACGTTACCCTTTTAACATTGTTTGCTAGTTTCTGACACATATGAAACTGTTCTAAGTTTATTTTTTCATTTATCCTGCCCCAGCCCTGAAAGCAGAGGGTTTCTAGAGATGTTTATGCTTATTTTGAAGGAGCTTGCGCAGAATAGAATTTAGACACAGGTCTGGTTGCAAGATCAGCTTGGCATTATTGTCAAAGAACACACTAAGTAGGTGACATATCCAGTTCTGATCTTGTGTATCACTAGACTTATTTTCAGTTTCTCCCTTTCTGTACTTGTAATTGTTATAGCAGTGAGAAACCTGATTCCACTGCTGCTATGTATTTGCTCTTTGGATATATCTTCCAGGTAGCCAATCTCTTCTCTGTTGCTTCTTAAATGTGCTTCTTCCTCACTTGACTGTGCCTCCACATATCAGCATGGTGACTGCCCCCTTCTATGGATGCTTTGTCTCACCTGGGTACACCCATGCCATCCCTGCACAATGTAGAAGCTCTTCTGATTTCTCTCAGACTCCAACTCCAATGTCTCTGCTCACACAACTCCCTAATATGAACGCTTTGCTCAGACCCTCTAGCTACTTTTAGAACCAAATTATTTAGGCAATGTCTTAGTCTGCCTTATGTTACCATCATAAAATACCTAAGGCTGAATAATTTCTAAAGCTCACAGTTTATGATGCTGAGTGTTTAGTGAGAGCTTCATGGCAGATGGCCCCACATGGTAAAATCACATGGTGAGATAAAGAGGCTGTGTGGCAAAAAGAAGCAATGTATTGGGTAAGAAAGTAACACTTCTGTACAGTAGCTGGCTCTCTCCTAACTAGTCCTAGAAAAGTGGACCCACCCCACAAAAGGACATTAATCCCTCCCAAAGTAACCCAATCTCCTCCCTCTAGGTCCTACTAGGTCTTAATGGCTCTGCCACCTCTCAGTACCTGTACGTTGGGAGCAAGCCCTCAGCACACGGACCTTCCCTACTCACACTAGAATAGGAAAGAAAGGAAAGAGAAAAGAGATGCAGTAAGAAAATAGCAGTGCTCATAGAGATGGCTGCAGCCACACGTGTCTCCACAGCCCTCACCCTACTTGAAAACTTCTGTTCTATTGCTTATTCTTTTGTTACTATCAAAGAAAGATACACAAAAGACATAATAGTGACAAGCAAAACGTGGCCATTAAGAGTTCATCTAGACACAGACAGCCTCATAGGGCTCTGCACTCAGGTTAAACACCAGTTTGCTGTAGCCATCTTGATACTCTGAATTTTTGAGCAGAAGCATGTTTTAAGTTTGCTTATATGTTCTTTTCTAAGAAAATAGGCATGCCTTTTTATGATCATTAATATAAAACTATGCTGTATGTGCATTGCTATATCTCTTGCTTATCTTCTTGGATCAGTATCTCTTCAGCATCATTTTAATGGTAGCACAGTGATCTATTGTATGGACATACTATAACTGAGACACTTCAAATAAGGTACTTGGTACCTGAAGTGCTAAGTTAAACTTTTTTATTTTCCTCATTGTAAAATGGGAATGCTACTCAACATAAGCTATCACATATAGAGTCAGCATTATCCCTCTAAATGCTAATATGACCAACAGCTAAAAGGCAACTTAGAGCCAACTGACTGAAGACGATTTATTTGTTAAAAGGACAAAATGGTAAAACAAAACAAAACAAACACCAAATCTGAGCATTTGTTTATAAAGAAACAAAAATTCTTATTTAAAAATGGCAAAGCCTCTCTGGCCCATCTTTCTAGAGCTGAGAGGGACTAGGTGGCCTCACTTTACCCTGGTGAGTTTCTGGAACACACTGTTCATTTAAATTACAAAGCCCATTACTAATCATGCAATAACTTCCATTTACGAAACTGGAATCGAACAATGTTCTCTCCTGGTGAGTGTTATGTTAGCAACAAACATGTTTTGTGTCTTTCTGACATATGTCAGAATTATTCACTTATAGTTGTGTTTAAAAATTTTTTAAAATATTATGTCAATGTCTGTGTGTCTGTGTGGGGATATGTGCATGTGAGGGCATGTATGCATAGAGACTACAACAGGGTGTTGGATCTCTTTGAGTTACAGGAGGTTATAAGTTACCCAATGGCGATGCTGGGAACTGAGCTGTCCCCTGCAAGAGGAGTAAGCAATCTTAACCAATGAACCATCTCTCTAGTCCCCAGGACTTATTGAAGAGTAATTAATTTACAAGGTACAGTGGTTTCATTGGTTGTAATTTTCCATATAATTCTAATTTTCCTTGATAATCAGTAGAGATGAACATCTCATCTTTTATTTTAATCTTAATCACTAATATTAGCTCTCAGACTATACATTACACGTCACACAGCACATGTATCTATATCAACACCTGGAGGTTTCAGAATGGTTACAGTGGGTTAAAGAGGCCACAGTAGAGTTTAAGAAGTTCTATGAGGTCTAAGAAGCAAAAGCAGGGGAAGCTGACAGACACAAGAGTTTGTGGGGAGGAAAGCAAAAGACCCAGGACATCTACCAGGGACTCTCCTACAGGGTCAAACTTGAGCTGAGAGTCATGGTCTAATCAAACTGCAGAATCAAGGTGAAGGACTGTGGAAGCCCCAGAGGTAAAGGGAAGTACTGGGTCCAATTGATAAGCTGGTAGACAGATGGACAGCAACTTGAGGATGCAACATCAACAGCAGGTATGGAGCCAACAAGAGCTCTCTGCCTGTTGTTCCTTGGTACACTGAGTTGTTAGGTAACATATCTATGGGGGAAACTGCCATTGCAGGGCCATGTGTCTTCCTCTTTATAAGGTCTAGGTGAGGGTGTTGGTCTAGTATACTTGATAAATTCCAGGGCTGGTTTTCCTGGTAACATTGCAGTGTTACCATGCATGTGGTCATATGTCCCTTATTGTCTTAATAAGTTTATAGTGTGGCAATTTTTCTATTTCTAGAAATAAGTTATTTATTGGTCTTTGCCTCCTGGGTGGCTCTGGCATACAGTAGTGGTTGTTCAGTCTCTGAGATGCAGAGTCCTCCTGTCTCTGTATTTACACTTGAAATGGAACCGTGTTGTTAGTAATGTGTAGTCACTCAGAGCAAGGTGCAGCCTGAAAGCCAGAGACAGTTCTGATCTTACAACTGTAGCAGCAGCTGAATTTGGTGGCAAAGAGCTAGAGAGTAGAGTTACTGGTGCTAGCAAATCTTTGAAGAGAGTGAGTGGTGAAGGAAAAAAGAGAACTGGAGTGGGAAAAGGTGGTTTACAATACTGAAGCCCCAGGCATGCTGTAGGCCTTGAGAGAGGGCCAGGGGAGACACACAGAGCTGTCACCAGGGGCAGGGAGTGGGACACAACTCTACCTTGTTGCCCACAGCAGCCTGTGGACTTTCATCATCATCATCATCATCATCATCATCATCATCATCATCATCATCATCATCATCAACATCATCGTGACCTTAGCTCAGGCAAAACCAAGTCTTTGGCATCAGTGAAGAAAACTATTTCAGGACAAGCCAGTATGAAGGAAAGAAGGAAGAAGTGCAGAGGAAGAAGGATTAGGAGGAAAAGAAGCTCGAAGGAACACACACTTGAGTATGTGAGAGTGGATTTCTCCAGCTCTAGAGCCCTTCTACATTTCACTCCTTTCTCTGATTACCTGGGTGAGGCTTATGCCTGGTGGCTAGTCTCTGTAGCTAAATGATGTCTAAGCAATGGTCTCTTCAAAGAAATTGCTGAAAAATCTCCAAGGGGCCTGTACTGCCTTATGAATAAAGGGTGACTTTCTACAGTGGGTTCCACTACATTCTCTGGCTTCTCCCACCCTTCCTGCCCACCAGTTACTTGCCACTTTTAACACTGCAGCTGCACAGAGGATCTGTTTGTGACTCTTCTACATTGAGTCATTGCCTATGATACAGATCTCACACCAAGTCTCTCAATTTTTCTGCCACTTCTATCCACACCTCGGCCTCCTGCAGAGTCCACACTAAACAATACTTTATCTGTTGGAGTTTTTCCATTTCTCCAACAAAATTACATCATCTCTTGAACGCCTATACCAAAATCTTGTGGTAATTATTCTATTCTAGATTTGTTACAGTTATTTATTTCCACCACTAAACTGCAAGATTTAAATAAATTATTTTTAATTTATATAGTCACTTTACATCCCAATCGTAGGCTCCTCCTCATGATCCCTCCTTCTCACCTCTTCCCCTTATTTCCCCTTCTCTCATCCTCAGAAAAGGGAAGCCCTGCCCAACCCACCCCAGTGCATCAAGTCATATCAGGACTAAGATCCTCCTCATTCACTGAGGCCAGGCCAGATAGGGGGAAGTGGTCATAGGCAGGCAACAGAGTCCATGATAGACAGCACCCGTTCAACTTACTAGGGCACTCACATGAAGATCAAACTGCCCATTGGTTATGTATGTGTAGGGGGCCTAGGTCCAGTCCATGCATGCTCTTTGGTTGGTGCTTCCATCTTTATAAACTGCCATGGGTCTAGGTTAGTTGACTCTGTTGGTCTATTTGCAGTGTTCTTGTCCCCTCTGG